CGCGGCCCTCGTAGTCCCGGGCCACGTAGCCGCTGCTGGACACCACGGTGTTGCACGCGCCGCCCGGCGCCACCTTGCACCAGTATTTTCTCTCGTATTTGTTGGCCGGAGTGATGGGGTAGAAGCACTGGTGAGTGAGGGAGCCTCCGACCTCGCCCGTCAGAAACCTGGACCCGTGCAGGACGCTGGAAATGGGATCTTTGCAGGGGAAGAAGGAATGAAGCAGAAGTGGGTGGTTAATAGCGAGGGAGCTGCTCTCCAGGCAGCACCAGGGTGGCCGGGAGAGCAAAGGAGCCTGGAGAAGCCGCGTTCCCCTCCTTGGGCACCTCCATCCACGTTCGGGACGGGAGAGGCGCATCCCAGCCGGCTCACCTGGTAGCAGAGCCATGAGGAGAAGGAAAAGGGCCATGTCCCTCCGGCAAGCGCCAAACTGCAGGGCTCTGTGGGCAGACAGGAGAGAGGGCAGTGGTGGCACGTGCTGGGGACACCGCTGAGCTGGGCACGTTTGTGCTGGTGCTCGTGGGGACTGGAGCAGGGACCCCACCCGGGACATGGCCTGTTCCGAGGGTAGCAGTAAAACCCCCAGAAGAGCTATCCAAGCTGTGAGCTGTCACGTTAAAGTTCTGGTGTTAAGGTGCTAAATTCCTGTTGGCGTCGGTCCCTCCTGGGCCAACACACAAGGCACCTGCCAGCTCACGTGGCTCCAGCCCATTGAGACTGTTTGCAACCACTTCTTAAGTGCCCTTATCCATCTCCCTCTGCAGCGGTGGGTGGGAGGTCCCCTTTGAGAAGTGACTGATGGCCTTCAGGGCCACCACGAGGTCCTGGCCAGCTTGTAATAAAGATTTTTTTTAGGAGAGGGCCTGGTGCTGCTGTACTTGGTGACTTCAACTGCATCTCCTGGGGCTGTTTGCAGGATCTGCTGGAGCAGAGTGCAAGGATTGCAGGTAGGAGATGGCTGTCCTGGGTGCAGGAGGCACAAAACTGACCCACGTCCCAAATCACCTGAGATAGGGGCTAAAATAAAGTATGTCTGGCAAGAGCTTTCATACCAGTCTTACAGTATCACTGGATTATTGATCTGCTTCTCTGAGCTCTCCGTGGCTTCTAAGTGACAATTTATAGATAGAATGAGCCTGGAAGGGGGAGGGCAAATCCTTTCCGTGTCTACCATGGAAAGGGGCTAAACTTGGGCTTTAGGCATGAGGGGTTTTTTGTTTGCTTTTATTTTTAAGCAGCCAGGTAGAAGTCCAAAGGAAAAGATCAGAAAGCAAAAGGAAAGAGCTGGAAGTTTTGATCCCGGAAATTAAGTTTAAAAAAATTAAGTATTATTGCATGTATGGTTTTCTTATCTTCATTTCAGTTCTGCATTGTGGAAAAGTCTATGCAGAGTTTTCTGCATCTTATTAAACTGCTATAATTCTAGCATGCAAAGCATGAGCTGCTAGTACAGCCCAGCTGTGTGCAAAGAATCTCTGTAGGGTTTTGCATGAGAACTTGCCACGTTTGGACCATTTTTTGTGTGTTCCTTTCAAAGAATCAGCTATATCAGGCTTGTAGCTGTCAAAAAAATGCTAGGTTTTTAAAGAAGACGAATTTCATTTATCCCCCTGCTATTGCATTGTTGATAAGACATGAAAATCCATCAAATAACACAGCTAATACAGCAAACAATCCGTGACAACTCCCTGAAGAAACATCCATGTGCTGTTAGGCTAGTTCTATGCTTGCACAGTAGCATTTTAGTATTTCAATGGCAAATTGAGAATTACCTACCTTGGGGTTGCGACGAAGCTGCTCTTACTGCAAAGTCTCTCCTATACGGCGCTTGTCCTTGGGCTTATTCTAATAAAGCATTTTGCACCTTGCAGCTCAGTTGGTCTTTGCTCTTGATATTTATTTCTTTGTGTGCCTTTATATCCAAAGTTTTAAAATGAATGCACAAAAATTAAGCACAGAAGCGCATCACCAAGCGAGTTGGAGGTGCTCAAAATGCTTGTAGCATGATGCCACCAATGTACTGAACAGGGAACCAAAGAATGTCCGTTTTTGTCCACTTAGTGATCTGGACAACCTCAAGAGTGAAAAAAGTGAAGAGGGTCGGATCAGAAGTTGGAAGAGTGGGAGGAATTCCCCTGATCTCCCTGCAACTTGTCAGGTTTTAACACCAAACAACTTCTTTCTGAGCGATGGAAGTAAAATGCTATTTGCTGCGAACTGCTTCCCATGAGAAGTTGTCACAAAAAATGAGAACTTGGTGCATCTTTCCTTTCTTATTGGCAGAACTTCTCCAGTTTGAGTGAACCTGAACACTTTAACTAGCTCGTATCTCTTTGAGTCCATAAAATGAACGTTTAGACGGCAGCGTGCAGTGTTTTTCTTGCACTGCAAGCCCTAGCTCAGAGCTTTGCTCTGCTAGCAAACTGTGAGCAAAATCTCACTCAGCACTGGAGGAGTCAAGAGGAGAGAGCGCTTCCGAGGTGGGAACGTGGGATGGAGTCCCACCACTACACTTGGTTTTCATAGAATCATAGAATCATAGAATCATAGAATGCTTAGGGTTGGAAGGGACCTCTAGAGATCATCTAGTCCAACCGCCCTGCACACGCAGGGTCACCTAGAGCACGTGGCACAGGACTGCATCCAAGCGGGTTTTGAAGATCTCCAGAGAAGGAGACTCCACAACCTCTCTGGGCAGCCTGTTCCAGTGCTCTGTCACCCTCACTGTCAAGAAATTTTTCCTTAAGTTCCTATGGAATTTTTGATGTTTCAGTTTCCGGCCATTTCCTCTAGTCCTATCAGTGGCCACCACTGAAAAGAGACCATGACCGTCCTCTGCACTCCCTCCCCATGATGCTGGGACCGCACACAGATCTCCAGTTCATCCTGCTTATTCCCCATGCTTCGCGCATTGGTATACAGGCATTTCAGGGAAGCAACAGAGGCCACAGGTTTCCCAGGAGGGGTGAAAGAGGACCCTCCGTGATCATTTCCTATCCTCACTTCCCCACTACCATACTCCCGCTGGGCGCCATCTGACCTGGGCTGTGCGGTACTGCTTGCCGCGTCAGTGTGCCACTCCCCTTCCCCCTTCTTGCCTAGTTTAAAGCCCTCCTAACCAGGTTGGCCAGCCTTTTTGCAAAGAGACATGTGCCCCTCTTGCTAAGATGAGTACCATCGTTCCCCACTAGCTGTTGGTCATCAAACAGAGACCCACGGTCGTAGAAGCCGAAACCCTGTTGCCAGGTCCAGCGGCGCAGCCAGTTGTTAAGCTGCCATATCCGCCTTCTCCTCCTTGAGTCCATTCCCCTCGTTGGCAGAATGGAGGAGAACACCACCTGGGCACCTGTACCTTTGATGGCCATAAAGCACAAAGCAGCCGGTATGCAGCAGTCCCTTGCAGGCTTCAGACACTCGAGCGCACGGGAGAGCAGCAGCCTCGTGGCTGCCCAAGCCCAGGGCAGCTTTGGGAAGAGGTAGAATCAGTGCATACGGTTCTTCTGCAAGCCCAAGCTGGGCAGCCTGGGTTACATTCGTGCCAATGGGAGAAAGCTCTATCAGAGGGTTGCAACATAACGTGCCTGAGGACATTGCCAATCTGCCAAAGAGATCAAAGTTGAGAAATCAAAGCAGCGTAGCAATAGGCGGCCTGGACTTCCCTTGAGAATCTCCTCAAGGTCACTTGTCATCCATGGGGGTGATTAATTTCTCTCTGTATTAAATCTCACCGGTATCTGCTGCTGTACCCTTAAAATTCCTCGATGAGGGGTTGACTTGTGACAGTGTCTGTGTGGCTCATGGTGGAGAACGGGTTTCTCGCTGGAGGATAAAAGTTGTGTCCATAAAGGTTGTGTCCGTGCGCTGCGCCGTGGCCTTGGTCCACGGGAGACCAAGGGCCGGGCGCCGCGCGGCGGGCAGGGAGGGAAGTGCCGGGGCCGGAGCGGGGCCCGACGCGGTGGCAGCGCCGGGTGCTCAAAGGCGGCTGCTGTTTTATTGCCTCCCGCAAGGCAATAAAGGCACAAGGCTTCCCGCGCAGTGCAGTGACGCGCTGCACCTGCAGAGGGTGGCACAGCCTGGCAGCGAAATGCCACCGCGCGGCCACCGCGGCCACCGCTCAGCTCGCCCGGCGCGGCTCCGGGATGGGCCGAGCTCCGAGCCGGGCACGGGCGCTGCACCCGCGCGCCAACCCCATGCGCTTCTTGCAGCAGGGCCGTTTGCACCCACGCTTCAAGCACAGGGAAAGGGGCCACGCTGGTGCCCAGTGCCCCAACCGCAGGGCCACCGTGGCCAGCGCTGCCCCGCGGATTCCGCAGATTCATTTATTTCCATCGCCTTCCTCGCTGCCCTGCGGCAGGGGAGGCACCCGCAGCCTGGGCCGGGCGCTGCTTTTGCCACCCCTCATGCGGACACGGGCTCTGCCGCCGCGCCGGTTTCGGGGAGGGACCCAGCCCCGCGTTTCCTCCGCGCGCTTCGAAGGAGCGGGGTTTGTTTGCCCAGGGAAGGGCAGGACAGGCGGATCCGCGCGGCAGGTTTAGAACCCGCTGCAACGGGGCAGAGCCCTGGGCGGCCGCAGCCCGGGGGTTTGGCAGCTGCCAGGACTTACGAAACTGGACGTGGGGAAGCGAGCGGCAGCGGGGCCCCCCGTCCCGCATTGCCCTTCCCGCCTGCTCACGGTCGCTGTTTCTGAAGAAACCAGACGCTGGGTTTTATTGTTCTGCAAATTGTCCTTGCGCGGGAGGCGGCGGCGCTGCCCTGCGCCTGCCGCGTCCCCGTCCCGGGCGCAGAGTTCCCCCCATCGCCCGCGCTCAGTCCGTAGGTGCCCGGCATAAAAATAGCAAGCGCAGCTGGGCGGGAGGGAAGCGCCCGGCGCTGCTTCCCCCGCGCGTCCTGCCCGCGCTTCTCCTTTTGCTGCAGAACCAGCGCTGAGGCCGGCTGGGGAAGCGGCCTCCCTTCCCGACCGGAGCACGTGCTGGCGCGGGCGG